GCATGGTACACAAATTAATATCCTACTACATTGTAAAACATCTCTAATCTTATTTCAATTTAACTTTGAACTCTATTTTGGAGTAAAATGTTCTTTAATACCATTCCATATTCAATTCAAAAATAAGTAATGGTTAGAGTTACTCAACTTATGGAGTAATCTTACTCATTATTCCATTTGGAATTATTTATTTTATAAGATAATCTTTTAAATCTTAAATTTTTTACATCATTAAGCATCTCTAATCACATTCCATTTTTGACTTTAAACTCCATTTTGGAATAAAATTTTCTCCGAACACAATTTCATATTCAACTCCAAAATGAAATAATGGAAGAATCCTACCCAGTATTCTATTTTGGAGTTGAACTTTTTAATTTATGGATAATCTTTTCAATCTTAAATTTGTTTTTAATATTTAAATAATATTTAAAATGATACAATAACAAAAGAGAATATGATATTCAACGATTTTTTTTTAATAATTCTATATAAAAGATGCATAAACTAATAAAAATAAGAAAAATATAAATAATATAAAATAAAGATAATATAAAATAAGTGATTTAATAATATGGTAAATTTCTTTCCCAACCACCAAGATTGGTGAAGTATTGCCCATGAACGTTTGGATCTGGTGTTGAATTTAGGTTACAAAACAAAACTTTGTTTTTATTTATATTTTTAGTGCCTTTTTTTTTTTAATTAGGAAAGTTGTAGAAGATAAAATTACACCAATTGACGTTGAAAAAGAAGCTCCATCTGCAGATATTGAAATTGTAGAAAATGAAAATATCTGATTCAAATTTTCTTGTTCAATCAAAGATGAATATCATTTTGATCAAAAAAAAAAATAAAGAATATCATTACACTATGAAATACATTAGTTAATTGCTAAAAATCTATGTGCATATAATAACACACAGATCGAATTATATATTTGTTATTTTATAACTAGTATATTACTTGTTCCAGAGTCTACGTGACTCTCCAAGGTAGGTAGTATTTTGCTACCGGGCAAGGAGCAGCGCGAAACAGGAAACCTCTTCACCATCTGCAAAAGTCGTGAAACACATCTTTTAAAATTCGGACGGCTATTATTAGATCATTAGTATTTATAATCCAACGGGTGCAATCCAAACTGAACACCTTATATATATAACAAAGCTAGAGAGCCTAAGCTAGACTCATCACACTTTCGTATAAAGTGTTCTTCTGCAGCAAAACACTCTCTTTTAATCGAGACTATGTCTACTATCCTTTCGGTTAAAGCTAGACAGATCTTCGACAGCCGTGGAAACCCCACCGTCGAGGTTTGTTTTTCTTCTTATATATGTTTACATGATCGGTTTTGTTTTATGATAATGTTATATAGGTCGATGCCTTCTACATCTCAGGTCTAGTGTTATTTACATTGTTTATTCATGGTCGATTTCTTTGGGAGTTGATTTGAAAAACAGAAAGAGGATAAATAATGTTTTGATAATGTTATATAGGTCGATGTCCACACATCCACTGGCGTTAAGGTCACAGCTTCTATTCCTAGTGGAGCTTCCACTGGTATGTTGTCTTTTTTGGTTTTACATTTCATTCTTTCTAGACAACTATAGGTCTGCCTACCACCATTAGCTTATGGTACTCGGACATGAATGTTTGGTTGTAAAATATGCCATAGGAATCTATGAGGCAGTTGAGCTAAGGGATGGAGGATCTGATTACCTTGGAAAAGGTGTCTCAAAGGTGAGTATATATGTGTCTTATGGTCTTTAATATTAACTGGTTTTCCAACATATGATGAGACCAAATGTTTCTGACCGTGACATGTTTTCTTATTGATGTTAATAGGCTGTTGGAACTGTTAACTCAATCATTGGCCCTGCCTTGATTGGCAAGGTAACTCACTTGTTAAACCCTCTCTGCATCAAACCTTTATAGACGTTAGTTTTAAAGGTTTTTATATTTGTTTTTTGCCGCAGGACCCAACTCAGCAGACTGCTATTGACAACTTCATGGTTCACCAACTTGATGGGACCCAAAATGAATGGGGCTGGTGCAAACAAAAGGTGTTTATTATAATAATATACTTCTTGTCATTTGAGCATGTGAGATGATTTTAAACTAGCTTTCTTCTTCTTATTTTTTTTGGTTCATAGCTTGGAGCCAATGCTATTGGTGCTGTGTCTCTTGCCGTTTGTAAAGCTGGTGCTGCTGTCAGTGGAATCCCTCTTTACAAGGTTTAATGATCTTTGCTATTTTTTAAGGTTATAACTCGTCTCTTGTAGCTTTTCTAACTCTTTAATCTACTATGAATCTTGTTTGCAGCACATTGCTAATCTTGCTGGTAACCCCAAGGTAGTGCTACCAGTTCCTGCTTTCAATGTCATCAACGGTGGATCCCATGCAGGAAACAAGCTTGCAATGCAGGTATGAACAACTTTAATTTATATATAACCCAAGACTAGAGTTGAACAACAAACTTGTGTTGGATACAGGAGTTCATGATTCTCCCTATTGGAGCTTCATCTTTCAAGGAAGCCATGAAAATGGGTGTGGAAGTTTACCACACCTTGAAGGTATATCTTGATTCATTTTTATTCCTCTGGATTAACATCTAACCTCACACATTTTCTTTATGTGACTTATTCACGTGTGATTTTTTGTTTTATAGTCTGTGATTAAGAAGAAGTACGGACAAGATGCAACAAACGTTGGTGATGAAGGTGGCTTTGCACCAAACATTCAGGAGAACAGGGAAGGTCTCGAACTTCTCAAGACTGCCATCGATAAGGCTGGATACACTGGCAAGGTCTGTATTTCACACTGTACCTATAACCAAAGCTTAAACAGTGAAACTAAATGGGTTTTGGTCATAACTTTTCATAGGTTGTCATTGGAATGGATGTGGCTGCATCCGAGTTCTACACATCAGACAAGACCTACGACTTGAACTTTAAAGAAGATGTACTTAGAAACCCTAAACTTTCTTGAGAAGTAATCAAGAACAATGCTCATATTATCTAACTCCAACCCTATATGTGTATTTGTAGAACAATGATGGTTCTCAGAAGATTTCTGGAGATGCTCTCAAGGACTTGTACAAGTCATTCCTTGCAGAGTACCCAATTGTATCCATTGAAGATCCATTTGATGAAGATGACTGGGAGCATTATGCTAAGATAACCCGTGAGGTGGGCGAGAAGTATCAGATTGTAGGTGATGATCTGTTGGTCACCAACCCCAAGGTACTGCCACAACTAATCAGAGTGTTTTAACATTAGAAAGTGCTTATCTAACACTCTTTTCTTGGTGCAGAGAGTTGAGAAGGCAATCAAAGAGAAGTCATGCAATGCTCTTCTTTTGAAGGTAACATCCTCAGCTCACTTTATTTTGAAAGCCTTGAAACTGTCTTAATAACATCTTTTGGTGAATGATCAAACAGGTTAATCAGATCGGTTCTGTTACCGAGAGTATTGAGGCGGTTAAGATGGCAAAGAGAGCTGGTTGGGGAGTGATGGCTAGCCACCGTAGTGGAGAGACTGAGGACACCTTCCTTGCTGACTTATCTGTCGGTTTGTCAACCGTAAGTCAACCCTCCTCCAACAGTACAATAACATGTTGAAGTATGTTTTGTAATAAAAAAATGTTGAAGTCTAGTTTGTATTATTGTTATATCATAACAGGGGCAAATCAAAACCGGAGCTCCATGTAGATCAGAGCGTCTTGCCAAATACAATCAGGTTTAGTGTACAAATGATGTTTTATTGATTATGATCACAGAGTATTAATCATCAGACTTATCCTCATGTGATGTTTGTAAAGCTATTGAGAATTGAGGAGGAGCTTGGAGCAGAGGCAGTGTATGCAGGAGTCAACTTCCGCAAGCCTGTGACGCCATACTAATGAGAGAATCAAATGGAGCTGAGAGTTTGATGATGTCAAGATTTGAGTTTTTGTTTTTTTTTTTTGAAATAAAACAGAGTTGTTTTCATGTGATGTACCAGCTACCCACTTAACCACTCGGCAAACCTGCATTTTTAGTTTGCACTCAGCCTTCAAAAGTATATCTATTGTGTAGGCATTATGTTTTGTTCTCCTATTATAATAAAATCTTTGCGAAGATTGTGCTTTCTTTGTTGCTTTTCTTGACTATGCAAATCTGTTTACATGACAATTCCCATGTAACCTAATGTTGATCTCAAGTATGACTAACTAGGAGTGCTAAACTTACCTCCAACACCAATCAAAAACGTACATGGTACGGATAAATTGAATCAAGCGTTCAAAAGGAACATGAACATGTGTTTTAAGTAAATGGTATCTAGTAAAATCTACAGATTTTATGGGCTCTCCCCCAGCGTCCGGTCCGGTGACCGTACTCCCAACCGATAATGTAGACTGATACAGACACTCACCGCTAGTCTGAATCCATCTTGGTGGGTGCCAGGATACACAAGGTTAATCAAAAATGTAGACTGATACGGACACTCTCCGCTAGTCTGGATCCATCTTGGTGGGTGCCAGGATACACAAGGTTAATCAAAAAAAAAAATTCTAACTTACATGGAGTTTAGATACAGAATAAAAATGCAGGCTGTGGGGTTCGAACCCACGCGCACTTATGTGCAGAAGAACTTAAGTCTTCCCCCTTAACCACTCGGGCAAACCTGCACTTTTGCAAACTGATTCACATGTAATATATACAACCTCATATTTTAGTCTTGATTCAAAGTTCAAACTCATAATAGCAATCTTCTCTGGACTGTTAATTCTTTCTTGATGCAATCTACACACACCACATACCCACCCAGTGCCGGTCTGACATATTCAAAACTTTTATAATGTCTTAAGCTCTCTTATTTTTAACACAAATTTTTCATAATGCTATATAAAGTTAAAATTGTGATGTCCTAAACACTGTTCATTTGTTTATGCTCCAGGTTGTATACACCACAGTTCATGTGGAACAGTGCAAGTGACAACAGTATGTATGACACAGAAATTGCAGTGCAACAACATTCCTTTGTTTTATTTTCTTGGTTTAAGAGGTTTTACATGAACTCTGTCAAACCTTATATTATCTTCTGAATAGGTTTACATGTGTTTGCATCTGCAAAACATGTAAATCCAAACTGACAAAAGAGACAAACTGTATGTATGAAACTTACAATAATATAAAGAGTTATTTTGCTTCATTAGAATCCCATCTTTGAGCGTTTCAAGTAAACAACAACCGCTATGCTCGTTATCACAACAGCTCCAGTAACCACCGCACCACCACGCCATGTAACCCACCCGCCACCTCCCTTTCCATCCAAAGAACTGAGTTGAGCCGTTTCCAAGCTCAAGCTCCTTGTTGTTGTTGTTGTCTCAGTGAAGTCCAGATACAGCCTCAACACCTTCTGTCCAGTAGACCTAGCAACAGCAACAGCACCAACCAAATCACTATCCGATGTAATCAACACCTTATCACCTTCATCATCCTCATACACGATCTGAGGCCTCACATCAACACCGATTCTTTGCATCACAACACCCATCAGCTCTTCAAGACTCTCATAACCCGAACTAAACCGATGCACACGTCCCTTGAGATCTTTCACTTTGAAAGAAAACGAGTTCTCTATCTCTAGAGAATGGTGAGAACTGATCTGTTTCCCACCAATCATCCCCGACACCTCGCTATGAGTGTCTGAATCATGATCAACCGGGTCCAACGCAAGAGCCGAGTCCCAAAACTTCTGCATCATGGTGTTAGCCACATCGTTCACAGCTCCAGAACTATTCTCAACCATCGAAATCGCCGCGTGAGTTATCTGCAACACGTCAACACAAGCCGCAACCGAACCGTCTTTATCCAACACCGGGAGATGCAAGAACTTTCCATCATGCATCGTATGCAACGCATCGAGAATCGTCGTCTCTAAGGAAACACATTCAGGACTCGGCGTCATAACCTTCTCAACAAGAACCGTGTCAGGAGAAAGATTCTGCGCAACAACTCTCATTAGAATATCTTTAGAAGTCAGTATCCCTTGGATCTTGCTCCCCATGGAGATGATCACAGAGTTAACACGCAACTCACGCATCCTTTTCGCAGCGATGTAAACAGAATCGGATGGCGAAACAAGCACAACTTTTGACCTATCGGTTATAATCGTCGACAAGGAAGGCTTAAACATTCCTTCCCTCAACGTCTCGATGAAACCAGCTCCACCAATTCCGCCAACACCTTCAACAGCAGCAGCTAAGGCACTGCCTTGCTCTGCTGCTTTCTCCATCCTCGATATGGCATCGTATAAACATTTTGTGATGTCTAACATAGCAATGACTTCACCATTCTCCACTACAGGCAAGTGTCTGAACTTCCCTTGAACCATTTTTTGAAGAGCTTCCAAGGCTAAGGAGTCAGAGGTGACGAAGACTGGGTTCCTTGTCATGACTTTGGAGACGAGAGTTTGGTCTGGTTTTAAACCTTCGGCGATGACTCTTGACGCTATGTCTTTGTCGGTACAGATACCGGAGAGGAGGGAGCTTGAGTTGGTTAGGAGAATGGCTCCGACGCGACGAGATGCCATTCTCCGACATGCGTCGAAGACGGTGGTGCCTTCGGGGATGGTTATGGCTTTTGATAAACGGAGGCTTTTGACTGTTCTCTCTACGTTGGAGGGACGTTGAGGTGAGTTTGGTCCGTTGATGACGCTTCCGTGCTCTGATTGGTCTGGTTTCTTGGAAGGTGGTCCTCGCCGGAGAGTAGTGCTCCTCTTCCCTGAGGTTGAAGAAGTCCCTGTTGCTTGAGTACTCATACCGATTTGATCTAAGGATTGAAGAATAATCAAAATATCAAATCAAATGCATAAATCTGAATAAATCAAACTTTTAACATTTTACCACAAAAAAAAACAAATCTGAATAAATCCGATGCAATGAAGATGATCAATCCCATGAACATACATGTACAAGAGCAATGAAATCAGGTCAAAAGAGGATTTATGAGAGATGATGACGATGAAAAAGGGACAAGACTTGGTACGCAAGAATCCGATCAGGGTTAGGGTTTACCTTTCTTGAAGAACTTGTCGTCTCTCTCTGGTTGTTTTTTTTTTTTGTTCACGGCTATTAGCAATTGTCTTTAGCCATTTTATCGAATTTTCATGTTCAGGGGCGTATTTGAGGAGGTGGTGGTCTTGTTCTCCTTAATTAATTTAGTCAAACTATAATGAATCTGATTAATTAAAAATCAAAAACTATAAAAGAAAATAAATCCAGTGAATTAAATTTTGAATGTGGCATGCAGGCATGGATTAGCCGGAAAATGGTCAAATAATAATACAAAAACACAATTAATTACACTAAGCGTGGCGTGTGCAAGCATGTTATAGGTTCTTTGCATTTGACCGCATGTCACTTGACAGAATTACGGTAAAAACTTTACCAATTAATTTAATATTTTAAAATTTTGTATATTTTAGAAGGTATTTATATTACATAATTTATGATCATAAAATTTTAGGATGTATTGACTAAATTTATATATTCAAAAATACTTCTTTTATATCACATACATGTATCATAAAATATAAATATGCTTTAATAGAATAATAAAACTATATTTTGAAATGATAAAAATAAATCTAAATTATGAAAAAAATAGATAATATAATATTTATTTCTATTTATAGAGGTTTTAATTTATGATCTTAACAAAATTTTATTTTCATAAAGTATTCTAATACTGAAATTTATGTTTATTAATTTATCAAATACTAATTTTAAGAAATAATATTATAGTCTAAGGGCTTGATTGGTAGATCATTAGTATAAACATTATATTCTCTATTATCCAATCAATATCTGTCAAAAAAACATTTATCAGATGCAAATGTTGTCTAAATGTTTTTTGTTCTTTGCTCTCATCATATAGAACTTTTGAGAGAGTAATTGTAGATAGAATATATAAAACTTAAAAATAATTATATATAATTAATTTATTTTTGTTTAATAATATAGAAAATACTTTTTTATAGTAAAAAATAAATTAATATTTTTAAAAAATAAGAATAAAAATTATAATTAAATATTTTACAATTTTTTTAAAAGAACAATATTTTGCATTTAAAATATAATATAATTTATATAATTACATATATCGTTCATTATTTTTAATAACAAAAATAACATAATATATCTTTATATAATATAGATATAAACATATTATTTAGACACTAATAAATAAATGATATAACATATATTAATTTTTATGATAATTTTATATATAAATCATTTACTACTCTATCAATAAATAAATAATATTTTTTATATAAATTATATATAATTTATTTATTTATTTAATAATATTACATATGTTTATATCCAAAAATAATTTAATATTTTTGAATTAAATTTACATTCTTTAAATATAATTAGTATAATGAATAAGATTCATTATTTTAATAAAAATATATTATTAATATATATTATAAATATATAAATATTATTTTAAGAGAAATGTATTATTATACTAACTATTATGATAATTGTAAAATTGTATATTGTTGCTGCTGCTCTGTCAATTACTTTATTAAAAAAATTAATGAAAACATACTGCTACTGTTTATCATCTGTTGTACCAGTCGAGACTAAGTTAATGTGCAACACAAATGTTTAATTTTTGGATTTGTTGGTGTGAAATTAAGAGTACAAGGGTTGTTTAGCAATTTGTCTCTAACAAGCAAGTGAACTCATCAAGTCGGTCACGAAATCAATCAATTTCGAATGCTTCTTCAGTCTTCTACGTTGCATCCACAATGCTATCTATGGATCTCTACCATCTCTGGTTCCCTCGTTGCAATCTGTGAGCTATCTCCATCTTTGTACCTTTGATTCTCAACTCTTCTTACGAACTGGTTACTCCTCTTCTGATCAAATTTGTATTTAGGTTTACATGCTTGCGTTTTACTTCGTTTACTTGGCCGTTGCTGAAGAAATCCTCCCCTGAAAACTAATCCGCGGCGTCGTTTTATCAGATGGCTTACATATGCAATGGTTATTCATTTGTTTCTACTCTCTAAGCTTTTCATGAGAGCTCAAAGAATATGTATGTTTTTTTTTTTTCAGGTCTATTCGCATTGACATTGTTGATCGCTGTATTTGGAATCTCTTCAAAACTAGGCACTGTATCACCTCTTGTAAGTGTTTTATGTTTACACACATTATATCTGATCATCATCAAAAAGAAGAGATGCACTTGTGTTTCTATAATTCCGAATGACAATAGTTTTCTTTTGATTAATTAGGTTTTTGCTGATAGAAGACTTGAGATACTATCAGCTACTTTTATCTTCTGTGTTTTGGTAAATGATTGTTTCATCCTAATTGTTTTTTTTTTTCGTTTTGATCTTGTTCTTGTTCTTGTTACCTCAGTATATTTAGATTAGTTTGTTGATTTTCTTAATATTCTGTGACATTTCTGTTGTGTGTTACTGGGCGCAGTTCCTTGGATTTGGATAAGTGAAGACTAGGATAAGACATGCGACTTGCGCATGATGAATATATGTAATTAAAATATAAAATTTTAGTATTGACAAATTTAAAATTTACATATGATTGTTTTTATATGTATTTAAAATTTTAGAATTTTGGAATTTTTATATAATTATCTATACGTAGAATCAGAAACAATTGTAATTAGAACTTTAGATCAAATCTTAGAATTTAATAGACCCGATTTCATATATCGTTTCATTTTCAGCGTTCGAGTGATGGAAAATAAACTGAGTGTCATTTGGCTTAATTGGTAGAGTATTAGCAAGTTCCCTAATTTTTTTTAAGAAGCAGTTGGTAAAATATTTACATTTAAAATATATAAAGTTTCTAAACTAATTTAATATAATTTATTTATTTGTCTAGTAATATTAGAAATTATACTTTTACAAATTATTATTTTTAAATAATTTTATATAAAATTAAGTTAAATTTTAAATTATTTTTAAAAACAATATTATAAGTTTTTCAAATAAAAATAAACAATTTAAAATTAATGGTCATGATTTAACATAACCATACTGATTCAAAAAATTAAAGAATTTAAAAATTAACAAATTAAAACTTAACTCAGTTTTATATCATAATTTAACAATTTAAAAATTAATTATGGTGATGAGAAGTTTACGTTCACGTGTCAATCATATTTATCTCAATTTTATCTCTTGTTTTGTTTTTTTTATATTTTGGTTATTACTCGATATAAGTATTTATTTTGAAGTTTATTCTCATTTCGTTTGTTTGTTTTAACCTGAAATTTAGAAAATACTTAAGATTTAAAATAATTAAAGAATACATACTTAAGTTAAGATCTGAACTTTATGCACAATAAGTATTTATATTTATTATTTATTTATATTTTTCTGCATATTATAAAATAATAAAATAATAAATATTTTTATTAAATAACTAATAAATCAATTACTATTATGTAATAAAGTAGCGTATGCATATAAATTTAACTATCACTCTTGTTTATTCGCAATTAGGGTAAATAAATCAAAATAATCAATCTTATATATTAAATATGATATATAATTAAATTTGAAAGATATAAACATAGTAATATAGCACAGTTTTAATATAAATATTTACTAAATGAGGTTTCTACTCATATGATTTTATGATTATTTGCATATTTGTGTAACAAAACTTTACACCAACGAATTTTTTTTTAATGTGAGATGTTTAGTAGTTTCAATAATTTATAATCATTTTTTTTAAATGACATATTTCAAAATTAAAATATTAACTTTTCAATATATGTTCAAGTCAAATATCAAAATATAAGTATGTATTTTCATCCGATGTATAGTTTAATTGAAACGATAAGAAATATATATATAAACTAAAATTATTTGTTCATATGGTCTTATAATCATTATATTTTAATATAGAAAAAAAATTAAAACCTTGATCCTAAAATTTTGTGTGAGACTTTTAACAGTTTTAATAATTTATACTCATTTTGAAAAATTCGAAATACAACATACAAAAAAAAAATCTAGATTTTTATTATATGATTAATGTAATTATGTAATTTATTTTAATAATAAAGAAATAAACAAAATGAGAAAAAGTATACAGATTGTTATCAAATCTTTATTGTTTTGAATCATTAATTGTCATATATATATTTTAAATCACATTAGGTAATTCCGTAGGTTTTAGTTAAGAAAAGCATGCGAAACAATAAATATTTGATATATGCGACCAACTATAGCCTACGAAATATTATATTGCTAGAGAGTGTAAGTTTTAGACTATACATTATATCACATGCTCTAAAATCCTTGGAATTTGAAATAGAAGCCAAAGAGCTATGCCGCATAGGATTGAGATTATTTTTAATTCTTACAAACCTAAGGTTACAACTTTTTAAATGATTCTCAATTAATATATAGGGATATATCTTTTAATCATAGTAACGAGCAGTGAGTTAGCTTTTGCACTTCTCTACTGAGTTAGCTTTTTCACTTCTCTACTCCACCTTTCCAACCGCGTCGAGATGTTGTGACTTGTGACCTTTGAGACCGTTTGGGGCGATTTTTTTTTTCTTTCATGAGCTCGACGTAATGTTTTGATTCGAGAGTTCTCATGTCTCTCAAAACATTTATCTTCTGGATTTAATATAAGAAAGCACACCCAATAATTAAATAAAACATGTTCTTCAAATGAAAAAAGAAGAAGAAGAAACTGAATATATAGGCCTGTGTCAAAGAATAAAACAGCATTGTTCAGAGCAAAAGCAAACAACTCATGCCATTCCTAAGTCACTAAGCTAAAGCACTTAAACAGTAGAATGATTCGTAAGATTCGTATGGAAATGTAAGCTCATCGACACACTCAATCTTACCCCAAATCTCACGACCATTGCTACTTCTTTCCAAAGAAATCTTAGCATACCAAATCTTGTTTTCCCTTTTGATATCATCATCAGAATATCTCCACATAACCATAAGCTTCCCACCATACTCCTCCACTGCATACTTACTTGCACCTCTTAAACCCATCGTACAGTCATCTCGCAATCTTCCCAAACCCTTGATTTCTCTCCATTCTCTACCCTCATGATCCTCAGAGTCACACCAGATTAAGTCTCCATCGTAAG